GGTGCGAACAGCCTACGGATATTCATAAATAACATAGTTCACTTTTTACATCAGTGATGAATATAATACAACAAAAACAATCCAGAACTTAAAAAAATACTCAAATTAATACTCAATCAAAGCTTAATGAAGAGATGAAACACTTGACTACAAACATCCACTGTGTTTGTAGGATGTCCAGAAAGTTTTGCTCTTCAGTGATACTGAAGACGAACATTAACATAAAATAAATACTTAGCTGAGCAGGTGATTCATAACCGTCACTGGAAGGTGTCCAAACTGTTTTCTAATCACCTCGGAAAACGAGTTCTTCCAAAGAATCCGCTGCTGCGGGAGCTGCTGTTAAAAACCCGTAACAGAAGCTTTAAATCTGCAGGAAAACCTGCCCCGGTTCAAAGTAAAACCTTTTAAAGGTTTTAACCAAACAGGCTGGTCTGAGAGGTTTAACAGGAGGAAGAAATGAAACAAACGTACAGTATTCCAGTCATGTTGGAGACTTTAGTTGAAAAAAATATAGATTATGTTGATCTTAGAAACAGCACATTTTCAGGATCTGAACCTGAATTTCTTTGTTTGAATCAGGGATGAAACATGTTCAGTCTCCTTAAGAAGCTGAACTATTCTGTACACTTAACAGGTTTTAATTAAGTSAATGTACACAAATGAAATGCATAAAATCACATTAATCTTACACTCACTTCCTGATAAATCTTCACTTTCACTGATGGATGTCTGCAGATAAATGAAGTCTTTGTATGTGAGGACAGGTTTAAGTGAGTACTTGTGATGTGTTTCCAGGTGGTGGCCATCGTAATGGACTTTCTGACAGACCTGCAGATCCTCCAGGACCTGCTGGATGCCACGTTGCGCCGCGCCGTGGCTGTTTATGTGGTGCTGGATGCCAGGGGAGTTCCCGACTTCCTGGAAATGTGCTCTCGGCTGCAGATCAACGCCATGCATCTGCGGGTGAGCAGAAAGTTCTGCAAACTGAACATGACGGGGCGCCTCACAGGGAGGAGGCTAACTGACACCTCAACTACAACAAAAAAAGGAAACATGGGAGCCTGCAGAGGGTTTCAGCTGCTGTCMGAGACTGCAGGAGTTTTCACAGGTTAAAATGTCACAAAGGTCATGTGTTGGACTAARCATTCACTTTGCTTACGAAAATGCAGATTTAGTTTTTATATGAATCTTTTTGCTCAGTCTTCTTGTCATTACGATGAAAATGTTTAACTCAACTCCTCATTATTAAACAGATCCATTTCTAAACCTTTTAGTTTTTTTCCTCAGTAGTTTTTCTGTAGTTTTTGTTGAATTTTAATTYTTTAGTTGACTCTAAAGCATCACTTTTAGTGGCTCACAGCGTAAATCATGACTYGAACAAACTAAAGATGAACTTGAAGCTTTTAAAACTCTTCATAGAGTACCGGTAGTTTCCWGGTTTTACTTCTTCTTGATTTTCTRTGTAGTTACATCTGATCGCTCTTTTCCCTGAGACAAATAGGTCAAACGGAGAAAACACTTTCATATGTTCAAGCCTACACCTGAWGAGGCTCTTAGTCAGCTAAACGTCTCATTTGTTTAACCTGGTTCCTCTTTGTTCTGTTTGCCAATAAGGTGGTAAACAACAAACCGCAGCCTGCAGCGGTGAGGACATAAAAACCTGCTGAACCAGTCAAATTACAAATTACCCATCATGCTGTAATACACATCTGAAACGGTTCAACAAACTATAAGGAAAGGGAATGCCTATATTAAAGTGTCATTAGAAAAAAATATTATTTAAACGTTTACTGTGTTTCCAGAGTAGATAGAAATGACTGTCGTTGTTGAATATCACTGAGCCGCTCCGTCACCCGATCCCCTCCGAGACACAGTACCCAGCCTTATCTGCTGTATGCAAACTTTTAGCAGTTGAGTTTGGAGTAGCTGAGTATCTGTTACACTGTGAAAGGCCTCCTCTGAGCTCTGTGACTCTTACTTCTAACAAGTGAACATTCATGGGATCCTGAGGAGCGATCCAAAGAGGGGAAACCTGATACGTCACCTCCCTGTGTGCCTCCTCCCAGTTTGTCCACACACGCAGCTGACAGAGTCAGGAGTGACGGCTCAGTTTGACTCGGGTGTTTGTGCGCTCGTGACACAGCGTTTACTCATGGATCACCTGAAATGTGTAACTAAGTGGGCGTGTCTTTGCAGAACRTCCGTGTGCGGATGGTGAGGGGCGCAGGGCTGGCCCTGGCCTTTGGAAAGCTGCCCGGGTCCTTGGGCTCCAAATACATGCTYGTGGACGGAGAGAAAGTCATGTTTGGGACCTACAGGTGAATATCAAGCAGTGGATCAGAGCTTTRAGGCTCTGCTTTTGTCCTCTCGATGAAATAAGGTTGATTTCAAAAMGTCATTTGAAACTCGCAGGACCGACTGAAGTGCATCAAAACATGACAAAGAATTTAAAGTGCCTGTGACATGCATATACTTAAAATACAAAAAGTCAAAGAGAACATATTTATATTTAAGAAACTTGGCATAAAACACATGATTTTACCCGTTTTGTCACATAACTGGCATATTTTCTTTTGAAATTGCCTCAGTCAAAGTGAAACAGGAAGTGACATCAAAGGGGAACTCTTTACAAAAAGCAACCCTCTTTGCTTTTATTGAGCAATATTATTTGAACTCTAACTCCTCTTCGTCTCTCTGATAGACTCAAAATAATCTAAATAAACATCAGATTCTTCTCTAAAATCTGTGTTATTGMAGCAACGCTCTGCTTACATGCAGACATTCCCCTTTGACATCACTTCCTGTTACTTCACAGGCAAATATCTCAACAACTGTTCATCTCAGTGTCGTAAAACATCTTTTACAATATATTATCAATGTTATCTTTCAAAAAGTGCATTCACATTTATATAAAAAATTGACGTCACAAGCACTTTAAAGTAAAACATATAAAAATGAAACTTTTCTGAACGTTTATGAGAAAGTATCTGTAAAGATACTTTCTTCTTAGATTGTTCTTTTTATGTACAGTGCCCTGAGACAACATATGTTCTGACTTGGTGCTATATAAATAAACTTGAACTTAAAGAGTTATTTGCCAGTTTGAAGTGGAATAGAATAAAAGACAAGAGAAGATCTGTTGTTCCAGCTTCTTATTAACATCTGAAAGTTTTACTGGTGCGTAATAAACGAGTGAAAACATGCTGCTGCTGATTGAACCTGACTGTGCTCGTGTCCTGAGGGTAAAAATATTGTTGTTGATCAGTCTGTTAGAATTGATGAGCGAGCCTGATGTGTGAAAATAATGCAGGAATAAAAATGTCTTCTGATGTGATCAACCAGCTGGAAACAAACACATCACACCAAAGATTAACCCTCACACTTCAGCTGGAACAAAAGCTTCAGTGATTTTTAATAATCTTTTCCTGTTAAATAAATAAATCAAATCAAAATCAAATCAGTGTTGGATGTATATACATACAACCATTTTTAATGTAATAATCCTTTGCATTATTACCAAGTTAAATATGTCTGTAATTTTGACACACCTTCCCTGTTGCAAACTGAACTATGGGTGCTCCAGACGCCACGCAGCAACATGAACCACAAACTGACCACAGAACTGCTTTCAGTTCATAGTTTGAATGCAAATTAGCTGAAGTCAAAACTAGCATGACTGATCTGTGTCAAATAAAAAGTTGACTCGGTCATTGATGACTCACATTTGAACACCTTCTGACTAGAAGTGAAGTATGGGTGCTCAGGCGCCTGCTCAGTGGAGCTGATGGATCAGCACTGATGAACTGAGTTTTTAAAATGTCTGGTTTGAATGAATGAAGGAATTTATTTATTAGGGCAGTGTGCTATTAAAACATAAYCATAAAAACATTTGATGCATTGCACCAGATTTAGCCTTTTTTGCRGGACTCCGGAGCTGCGCCAGAGTCAATTTTTAAAGATTACATCGCGCAAACAGGAAAAGAAATGAGCACAACATCCGTATTTTCAAAATAAGACACTTTTAGGCTGGATAATTTGTCAGAATAATGTCGAAACTGCAGCTATATTAATAAATATGTGGATATATTTCTACACAAATGCTGTCAGAATGTATGGTTCTGTTTGGGAAGCAGATGGAAACGTAACATGAAGCATTCGTGTACACACACGATACACGTGGATTTTATTTTGAAATCAAAAGTTTCAGAAAGACGACAGCGAGACAGTTTCAACATAGATACCAAAAGCCTTGATATCATGGTTTTCAGCTGTGTTTGGAGTTCATCTTTCACAGAATTAATTATATTTAGCTGTGCCTTCCACACTTATCACTGAATTTATCGCGCAATCTCCTTCCTGCACGTCTGTCGAAGCGGAGCGGAGCGGATCAGAGGTGGAGTAAACTGGACTTGAAACGCACAGCTGCGACCTGCGCACCGCAGAGGAGCGGATACGGAACGCAAGCAGTGTAACCCCGGATATACTACAAGCGTCTCCGCTACGCTGTGCTGCGGTGCGCAGGTCGCAGCTGTGCGTAAGGCTAATTTACATCCGTAGTCCTCCAGATAATAAAAACAAAACAACATCCAACAATAATAAAAATAAGAAAAGAAAATAACAGAAAAATTAAAATAATATAAAATAAAACATTTTGCAATTAATAATAAAAATACATAAACACCCCACTCTCCAAACATAATTAAAAAGTTATATTACCGAACATCCAATACAAAATTTGTGATTGCAGTATTAAGTAGATTTGAGATATTCTGCATGATCACCCCAGAAACCAAACCAAAGAACTGCAGGTCTCCACATCCCCACCTGAAAAACATCTGACACATTGCACCRAATCCAYTYTTTCWTATCGAGGAGTTGATTTGTCTGTAGATTCTCCTGAAAGTTCGATGCTCTGAGGTTATTTCTTGTTTCCCCTCAGCTTCAGCTGGACTTCGTCCCGGCTGGACAGGAACACCATCACCGTCATGTCCGGTCACATTGTGGACTTCTTCGACGGCGACTTCAGGGAGATGTACGCGGTGTCGGAGCAGGTGGACCTCTACAAGGAGTTCAACATCACCAAACCCCCTCTTCCTAAGCCCACCCTGAAGCCACCGGTGGAGCGCGCTCGGCCCCTGCCCATCTCAACGTCTCGCTTTCAGGTGTCGGTCGGCGACTCGAGACAGGTCAACCTGAAGGTGCCCGCACACAAGTACCACAATCCGAAYTACTCTCTGGTTTTTGGGAACAGTTTGGGCCTGACGAGGTCTTTGCAAGACCTCTCCACCCAGAATGACTCGCTCTACAACGGGCTCAGTCAGAGCAACGGACTGCAGAACGGCTTCCTCCACTCCAGCAAGGAGCAGGTGGGCCGAGCGTCCCCCCCGCAGAGTCCGGTTTCCCCGGCAAAGCAGGGAAACGAGGACGGAAAGGAAGGTCCGATGAAGAACCAGGCGGGAAGCATGAAAAAACAACGCAGCTCCTTCAGGCACTTCTTGAAAAGCCGGGGAGACCATCAGACTGCYGAGACTATAGAGGAGGGTGTGGTCACTCCTCAGAGCCCCGCCCACAACCATAAAGGGCCAGAGATGAATGGCGTTGCAGGACATGAACTGGGGGACTCGTTTGAGATGGCTGAGAAAGCGGGACCTTTGAAAGTCAAACCTAAGAGGCCTTCAAAGGTGCTTCAGAAAAGTGTGTCTCTGCAAACGATCAACACGGGAAACGAAGACGGTACGTCCTCAAATGTATCTTCTTTATGGATGCAACACTTAGTTTCTTCTCTAATTCATGATAAACAGTCTAAGAAACAAAAAATCTGTTTAGTTGATTCTTGAACCCCATGCACCCCCGTTACCAGGGTCAAAACAGCATTTTCCTGTTTTCTATTTCTTCTAACTTCTGTTAATTAAAGATCTSTCAGGTGAACCTGGACATGTTTGGTATCAATAGAAAGAAAAATAATCTATTTTTACATCCACCAAACAGTTCAAACATCAGCAGTTGAATCAGAAAGTAAAACTACAAAATGGCATCATTGCAAATCTGTAAAATAAAAAAAGGGATTTTTTTTAATGTAAGTCAAATCAGATACCAAAATTTGTTGAAAGTTTTTTTTTACTTAATTTTGAGTGAATATGATCCAATTGAAGTAAAATATAATTTCTCATTATTTTATATAATATAGTATATATGGCAACAAATAAATATTTGGATAATTTTTCAAAAGAACAAACATTCAATAAGTCTTTTTAGGCAGTTAAGAAAAAACAAATAACTTTAGCAATTCAAATTTTAAGATTTCTGAACATTTATCGATTGTACCATCATGGTCTGTCCTGTGCAGAATGGCAAAACACAAAATTATTTCTTTACTAAAACCTCTGTAACTTTGCTCCAGTTCATTTTAGCAGCATGAATCTTTGCACAGTTAATATCCACAAGTGGATTTATMGTTTCCAAGAGTTTTWYSCRMYWTRKWTWWMGMTTTWAAWMGGMT